ATATTAAAACTAGGGCTGTCAAGCAATTAAAAGAATTAATCGTGATTAATCACAAGATTAATCATGTGATTAATCACATTGATAAAGAATAATAGAATACCATTTATTTAAATATTTTTGGATGTTTCCTACATTGTCAAATATATTGATTTCAATTACAACACAGAACATAAAGTGTACAGTGTTCATTTTATATTTATTTTTGATTACAAATGTTTGCACTGTAAAAAACAAAAGAAATAGTATATTTCAATTCACTTAATACAAGTACTATAGTGCAATCTCTTTATCATAAAAGTTGAACTTACAAATGTACCATTATGTACAAAAAAATAACTGGACTCAAAAATAAAAATGTAAAACTCCAGAGCCACAAGTCCACTCAGTCCTACTTTAGCCAATCGCTCAAACAAACAAGTGTGGTTACATTACAGGAGATAATGCTGCCCGCTTCTTGTTTACAATATCACCTGAAAGTGAGAACAGGTATTTGCACGGCACTGTTGTAACCAGCGTCACAAGATATTTACGTGCCAGATGCACTAAAGATTCATATGTCCCTTAATGTTTCAACTACCATTCCAGAGGATGTGTGTCCATGCTGATGACGGGATCTGCTTGATAACGATCCAAAGGAGAGTAGACCGACGCGTGCTCATTTTTATCATCAGAGTCAGATACCACCAGCAGAAGGCTGATTTTCTTTTTTGGTGGTTCGGGTTCTGTAGTTTCCACATCTGAGTGTTGCTCTTTTAAGCCTTCTGAAAGCATGTTCCACACCTCGTCCCTCTCAGATTTTGGACGGCACTTCAGATTCTTAAACCTTGGGTCGAGTGCTGTAGCTATTTTTAGAAATCTCACATTGATACCTTCTTTGCGTTTTGTCAAATCTGCAGTGAAAGTGTTCTTAAAACGAACATGTGCTGGGTCATCATCTGAGACTGCTACCACATGAAATATATGGCACAATGTGGGTAAAACAGAACAGGAGACAAAAGTGCCATGTGAACATATGATCTCACTTTCAGGTGACATGGTAAATCAGAAGCAGGCAGCAGTATCTCCCGTAAATGTAAAGAAACTTGTTTGTCTTAGCAATTGGCTGAACAAGAAGTAGGACTGAGTGGATTTGTACACTCTAAAGTTTCACATTGTTTTGTTTTTAAGTGCAGTTATGTAACAAAAAAAATCTACATTTGTAAGTTACATTTTCATAACAGAGATTGCACTACAGTATTTGTATGAGATGAATTGAAACATACTATTTCTTTTATCATTTTTACAGTGCAAATACTTGTAGTAAAAATAATATAAAGTGAGCACTGTACACTTTGTATTCTGTGTTGTAACAGAAATTGTGTTGAAAATGTAGAAAAACATCAAAAAATATTTAATAAATTTCAATTGGTATTCTGTTATTTAACAGTGAGATCAATCACAATTAATATTTTTTAGTTAATCATGTGAGTTAACGGTGATTAATTGAAAGCCCTAATTAAAACTATGTGGTGGTACACACACAAAAATAGAAAGGCAGAAAAGTTCCTGCTAGGGCTTAGACAGCTGGTATGTGGCAGTACGGCCTCTTGACAACTCTTTGAAATGGCTATCTTGTTCAGCTTTCATTATGAAAAGCATGGACACTTTTCACAGTCACCAGAATAGAGGCTCAACTTAAATGTATATCCAAAATTAAAAAACACAGTAAAAAAAACTAAAGAGCCATCGTGGCTTAATAACCATGTAAAAGAAGCAGTGAGAGATAAAAAGGCATCTTTTAAAAAGTGGAAGTCAAATCCTAATGAGGTAAATAGAAAGGAGCATAAACACTGCCAAATTAAATGTAAAAATGTAATAAGAAAAGCCAAAAAGGAGTCTGAAGAACAGCTAGCCAAAAGCTCAGAAAGTATTAACAAAATGTTTTTTAAATACATCAGAAGCAGGAAGCCTGCTAAACAACCAGTGGGGCCCCTGGACGATCGAGATACAGAAGGAGCACTTAAAGACGATAAAAGTCATTGAGGAGAAACTAAATGAATTCTTTGCTTCAGTCTTCATGGCTGAGGATGTTAGAGAGATTCCCAAACTTGAGCAGTCTTTTGTAGGTGACAAATCTGAGGAACTGTCACAGATTGAAGTGTCACTAGAGGAGGCTTTGGAATTAACTGAGAAACTTAACAGTAACAAGTCACCGGGACGAGATGGTATTCACCCAAGAGTTCTGAAAGAACTCAAATGTGAAATTGCAGAACTATTATCTATGGTTTGTAACCTGTCCTTTAAATCAGCTACTGTACCCAGTGACTGGAAGATAGCTAATATAACACCAATATTTAAGAAGGGCTCTAGAGGTGATCCTGGCAATTACAGACTGGTAAGTCTAACGTCAGTACCTGGTAAATGAGTTGAAACAATAGTAAAGAATAAAATTGTCAGACACACAGAAGAACAAATTGTTGCACAAAACTCAACATGGTTTCTGTAAAGGGAGATCGTGTCTTACTAATCTATTAGAGTTCTTTGAGGGGGTCAACAAACATGTGGACAAGGGGGATCCAGTGGACATAGTGTACTTAGATTTCCAGAAAGCCTTTCACAAGGTCCCTCACCAAAGGCTCTTACGTAAATTAACTTGTCATGGGATAAGAGGGAAGATCCTTTCATGCATTGAGAACTGGTTAAAAGACAGGGAACAAAGGGTAGGAATAAATGGTAAATTTTCAGAATGGAGAGGGGTAACTAGCGGTGTTCCCCAAGGGTCAGTCCTAGGACGAATCCTATTCAACCTATTCATAAATGATCCGGAAAAAGGGGTAAACAGTGAAGTGGCAAAGTTTGCAAACGATACTAAACTTCTCAAGATAGTTAAGACCAAAGCAGATTGAAGAACTTCAAAAAGATCTCACAAAACTAAGTGACTGGGCAACAAAATGGCAAATGAAATTTAATGTGGATAAATGTAAAGTAATGCACATTGGAAAAAATAACCCCAACTATACATACAATATGATGGGGGCTAATTTAGCTACATCTAATCAGGAGAAAGATCTTGGAGTCATCGTGGATAGTTCTCTGAAGACGTCCACACAGTGTGCAGCGGCCATCAAAAAAGCAAATGGGATGTTAGGAATTATTAAAAAAGGGACAGAGAATAAGACGGAGAATATCTTATTGCCCTTATATAAATCCATGGTAAGCCCACATCTTGAATACTGAGTACAGATGTCGTCCCCTCATCTCAAAAAAGATATACTGGCATTAGAAAAAGTTCAGAAAAGGGCAACTAAAATGATTAGGGATTTGGAACAGTTCCCATATGAGGAGAGATTAAAGAGCCTAGGACTTTTCAGCCTGGAAAAGTGGAGACTAAGGGGGCGATATGATAGAGGTATATAAAATCATGAGTGGAGTGGACAAAGTAAATAAGGAAAAGTTATTTACTTGTTCCCATAATATAAGAATTAGGGGCCACCAAGTGAAATTAATGGGTTGCAGGTTTAAAACAAATAAAAGGAAGTTCTTCACTTAGCGCACAGTCAACCTGTGGAACTCCTTGCCTGAGGAGGTTGTGAAGGCTAGGACTATAACAGGGTTTAAAAGAGAACTGGATAAATTCATGGAGGTTAAGTCCATTAATGGCTATTAGCCAGGATGGGTAAGGAATGGTGTCCCTAGCCTCTCTTTGTTATAGGGTGGAGATAGATGGCAAGAGATCACTAGTTCATTACCTGTTAGGTTCACTCCCTCTGGGGCACCTGGCATTGGCCACTGTTGGTAGACAGGATACTGGGCTGCATGGACCTTTGGTCTGACCCAGTATGGCCATTCTTATGTTCTTATGTTAAACCTCTAATAGTTACAGTTTTGAAGAAAATGTAAAAAATGTGAAACAAATGAAACTGATAAAGAAATGTCTATGTGAATCTTCAGAGCACAACAATAGCTGGAATAGTAGTAACTTTGAGGGATGTGAACGGCTCCATTTATCTGAGGGAGGTGTTAGCTCAGATGCCCAGTGATGATAATTTAAATACCAAAATGGTTTAATTCCTCATAAAAGTAAGGAGAGGGAGGACCACAAGTCACTCACAATTTACTGTGGGTGTCCTTGCATTTTGGTACCACAAGGGGGTGGCATTTGGGAGGTACCACCACTTATTTTTCCCCCTTCCAAGGGGGAGGCAAGCCCAAGGAGTGTAACAGAACCCTTGGGCATATGCAAACTGTACTGAGGGAATCCAAGTTTAAGGAATCCAATGGAAATCAAAGCATACATGATTATATTTTGAACATCTGCACAATCTATTGTGAGTGGAGTCTCATTTGAATGACTCATATGAGTAGCGCTTACTACGTGAGTAGAGCTTGGAAGAGTATCACAACTTCTCCTTCCCCCCCAATTTGATCCCTGGTCCCACCCTAAGAGCTTACCATCTAACTCAGACAAAGTTTATGCACAGGACAAAAGCGTAGTCAAGGAGATCACTATATGAAAGGTTCACACAAGAAGTAGGATTTGGGGAGGGACTGGAGAGAAGAGGAGGTTGCTTGCCAGACAAAGATCTATCCCAAGTGTAAGGGGTAGCAGGAAAGAAAGGTGCAAATACAAGCCTAGAAGAAAGAGACAGACTGTTGCTAGGAGAGTGGACATAGGGGAGTATAGAGAATTACTATGTGACCATGGAGAAAATCAGTGATGACAACAACTTTAGTAGGTTATGCAGTATCTAATTTCTAAAAAAGGTTGTGGCTAAAATGGAAAAGTAATAGAATTTCAAGCTGTTGTAGCCAAGGTTCAGAGGCCAGCTGTAACAGGAGCAGGGATTTTGCAAGAGAAAGACCATTCACCTGAGGCAAAATGAAAAATTCTGTTGGCAGCTGTTAGCAGAGGATTCATATGGAAAAATTTTTAGCCAAATAGTCTGAATAGCTGATGCACTGTTAAAGGGTGTCCTTTAAAGTTGCATTAAAATGTTAAGGAAAATAAAAGCCAATAATCATAACAGGTGACTAAAGTTTATTATAATCTCATGAAGTCAGTAGAGTAAATGCAAACATATAGTTTATTTTTGTCATCTGGTTTGTCTTAATCACAAGCTAAAAATTCATTTATAACCTGTATACAAAATGCCATGTTTATATCAATATCATATGCAGCTAGCATGAAATAGTATACATTAAAATGAATAACAGAAATCTGTAATGGTCAAAGACAACCAGTAACAAAACCACTAAATACCAGTTGTCAAACATGATTTACTATGTATATTTCTCCTTTATTCTGTTAAAACAGTAATTATTAAAACTAAAGTGATATGGGTGAGTGTTTATGACTTCCTATTAAAAAGCCTGACTTAGAGCAGTATTCATTTAAGTTTAAGGTTGAAGAAAATCATGCAGAGATCTCTGTTCGATGGCCTAGTGACTTTATATCCTCTTGTCAAACCTCAGCAGTTTTATTTGTAGTGATACATGCCGGAGAAGGTTGGAGGTTAAAGTTGATAGGAGGGCCAACAGGAAAGCCAACCAACTTCTTTCAAAAGATTACAACCTTTAACATATTAGGATCTGTCGGCAGTTACTGCCAACTTTACAAGTCTACATTTTGTGTACTCTTTACAAATCTTCCCAAAATTCCAGATCAAATGGATCAAGTAAATGCTTTTTGTACTTTCCTCCAGTTATTGCTTCCTAACTTTACTACTGTGTAAGCTATTTATTCGTACTTTCCTACAGTTATTGCTTCCTAACTTTACTACTGTGTAAGCTATTTATTCGTTGATTTTAAAATAATGGTTAGCAAGGATTGACCATTTTTCTAATAAGAAACTATGGACAGTTAAAATTCTATTCTAATCATTAACTCCTGGTCTCTCCCTTGCCCCAAGGCTCAATTTGCCAACCTCTTCCAAAAGGTAGATCACTAAAATGATGCACAGGACCCTGCCCCCCTCCCCACCCAAATCAAACCTTTTTTATACTGCAGTAGTAGACTTCATTTATTAAAACATGTGGCTATCTAACTCCCTTCATCATATTTCCCTGGCACATGTCCAAAGGACCACAACAAGCAGCAAAGCTCTGGAATGAAAAATAGTCAATACCTGGTAAGGATGTATTATAAAAGAGTCCATGATATTTATATATTCTTTGTGAACAAATGTGTTATGACAAACAAGTGTTAAGAGCAAGAAAACAACTTGTAACAAAGGATGCACAACTGTATGAGTGTTAAAGTTTTCTCTTAGTTTGTTACTTTCTTTAGAATGCAATATTTGCACCATATAGCACAGGGTTACGGATTGGAAGTATTTTTGAGCTTCTGTAAGTCACAAGTAAATTGTGACATTAAAGAACAAACAAATTCAGGGTAATCTTTTCCAATATTTATACTACACTTGTCCCATGCTGGTTACAAGAACAATTCAGTTTACAACACAGAACATGATATTACATTAAAAAACTATCACTGCATTTGTTAATGTTTATGCAATTTGAAAATTAAATAACTTTAACCAGTTTTCTCGCAACGCAGCTGATATCTGCGATGTTTTACTTGCAGGTGTACATCAGCCAAACTGTTATGTTGATTCATTAATTATCCATTACTATAATTAGGCAATGTAACGCTTCAAAACGCATAAGACAAAAAACATACATATTATCTGCTTGCTAGAACATGCAATCAATAGGGATGGAAGAAAAATCTCATGTTTAATGTTTTCAGGTAGCAGATTTGATTTCTAGGTCTCTTGATTTTCAATCCCCCCCAACATTTGGAAAAAGTGAAAATTCTGCATTTCATAGCACTACCTAGCTATTGCTACAATGTTAAGTATATAAAACTAGATGTGCTCTAATAAAATCTGACTAGCTAATTAATACTCAAAAACAGAGTGGAAGCTACTTAAAGGAATGGTGTGTGTGTAAATTCCTTTAGGTCATTGAAGAGACTGAGGCAGGTTGGTGTAATTCTATATAACTAAAACATTTAATATCCCATGTTGCCTATAACTTTTTGTTCTAGCTGTAATTTAAGAAATAAACACATTCCCCTAAAAAGGTTTAATTTTTTTAGTAATTTCATGTTATGCATTTTTGCCATTGTACATCATATCAAAGAGAGGGAGAGGCCTTTATGGTAAAGATATAAAAAACCATTTACACTGACTGCTAAACATGCCATGCTGTTTTACTCATACCCTAACACTGTCCAAGAATGTGATAACGTAGCAGCATTTTCATTTTAAACTCCACATTTCAGGGGTTTGTAACATATAAATTTGATCTGGGATAACATTTAAAATATGAGATCATACCTGGGAACTGATCCTAATCCCAAAACTAGTTTAATTTGACCACCAGTTACAAAAGTGGGAAGGAAGAGAAGAATTTGGCTTCTGATTAGTTCACGTTAAAGGAATAAAGATGTAGAGTAACACCTCAAGCAGAGATAGCGACTGACATCAGCTCATTCAAAAGCTGCTAGATGCTCTGCACTTTTGAAAATTAGGCTACTTACAAGGTGCCTAAAATATAGATTTGGGAGCCAAATTTTAGGCACTCATTTTTAAACTGGCTTGGATTTTTATTGTATTAAAGTAATGTCATAATAAAACACTACAAATGGGATATAACTATCCCCAAATGCACAAAATATCTTGAGACTTTCATAGTCAAAACTTGCTATCTTATACCCCAAACTCTGGCTCTCCAAAAGTTTAGAAATTAGAATCTTACTTTAATATTAAACAGAGCTGCACTCTCTTTGATATTCTGTTTCCTAGTAAACTCTCCTCTTCGGTTTCAGCCTTTTATAAGGGATCTTTTCCAGCATGCTCTTTGATAGTTGTCCATTTAACTTTGGGAGAGGGATTACAGCCTCATTGTGTATATATGTCAACTGTCTGTGGCAGGATGAGTCTCCTTTCCATATAGCTGGCATTTGGATTCATCTTATGTTGTCTCCTGATCTTCCCTTATTCTCATTTTTGAAACGGCACATCTTCACAAAGAGTATTAAAAAATGAAAAAGTTTGACAAGTGCTAGATGACACTGATAAGAGCTACTTTCAAAAAGATTTTTTCTCGCATGCTTGGTATTTTGCAACCCTAATACACAATATGTACTATTGACTCAGATTATCCCCTTTAGAACTGCACATGAAGGGGACTCTCCACACATGGTATGAGGCCTCAGATACCTTCAAGTCACCATCCCTTTCTCTAGACTCTGTGGAGGCCTTGACACATGTGCCAAACTGGCAGAGAGGACAGAGATGGGGTAGGGTCAGTGTGAAAGCCATCCCCTCCTTACTAGTCCCTTGGAAATTGATCAGAAACATCTTCAATTTGGGGTCTTATTTTTCTGAGACCTGCCAAAAAATGGAGGCAGCTAGATGGTACTTTCCTAATATTTTATGCCAAAGTGTAGCTTGCTCTCCTACTGCATGTTTCCCCAGTTCCTCCAAAAACGATGTATATATTGGTGGTAAGATTATGAGAGTTTTGAGAAGATTTAAACTTAAACTGAAGTTTTTACTGCAGGAAGTTGGATTTTTATAACAAAAAATTATTGTACAAAAATAGACTGTTCATCTTCCATCCAGGTTTTTAAAAGTGCTTTACAAGCCTCATAATACTTTGTACAGTAGGGTAGTGTTATTTGAATTTTACAAATAGGGAACTTAAAGCACAGAAACATTAAGGAATGTACTCAACATCACATAAGAGATCAGTGGTAGAACTAGGACTTGAACATCTATCTTCTGATTTCTAACAATGTAATATATGCACAATAAGCTAACTTGTCCAATGTCTACTCTGTGTACTGAAACATTGTTGCCAAGAATTAATGATCCATAGAACACAAAGAAGTGTCTCAAAACCATTATATTGGGCTTACTCCTGCTCTGATTATTATTTGCACCTACAGGCCTAACCAGGATCAAGGCTCCATTGTGCTAGACACCATACAAATGCCCCCCAAAAATTACAGTATAAGGCCTGGATCATTCAAAGATTTATGTATGTACTTCTATCAAATGAAAGATGTGTGCAAGTCATTGCATGAACAGGGCCTAATTTATATTACACTACTATTTGTCAATGAGACAGGATTGGATCCAGTCTGTTGTGTGAAATTATTTAATTTAGGTTTTATGCAATATGTGCCTATCACAATCTTTGGCTCATTTACCAAAAGTTAAAAGAGTACAAATTAGTATGTACATTAAGGACACCTAACACAAGCATTTTATACTCTGAATCTGTGATATGAAGGTTTATTATTTTTAGTATGAGTTCAACATAACTGTGAAGACTTCTTTGGAGCAGCTGCAGAGTACAAGTGTGAGAATGCATTTTTAAAATGCCTGAAGGGCTTAATGAGAGCCTCTGGGCACAATCAGCCTTTCCCTGCTGCACCTGCAGTGGGTGTCGAGCCTGGAAAAAGGAGCTCAAAGGGCAATGAGAGCTTATCTTTGGCTCTCACTAAGTGAGAGATGCTTGGCTGGAATGTGGAAGATGAGTTGGACTGCTAGCAAACAGAGCCTCCCTGAAGGACAATAGGCCTGCAATACAGAGTCTAAGGCAGTTGGGAAGCAAAGTGGCAAAAAATGAATCTGTCCAGGATTCTGCATGCTGGTGGACGGGCCTGTAAGAATCAGGAAGACTCCTGGCTGAGTCAGGGATTGTCCTGCCAGAAGAATAGGAAAAACTCTCCTGCAGCAGAACCGGCTGCTAAGAAGCTCGGCAGTGAGCCTTGATGCTTAAAGAAAGCGGGGATGACATAAAAGAGAGAAGCTGAGGCAAAGGCCCGAGACCAGGTAAGGTAAGAAGTGGTTCAAGGAGGTAGTAATCTGTGTAGTCAGGCCTTGATTGTCTATTCAAAAGTCTCTGGACTGAAACCCAGCAGAGTGGGACGGCCTGGGCTCCCCTTCCAACCCACTGAGGAAAATGGAGCAGACCTCTCTCTTCTCACAAGGGGTAAGGTAAAGACTATCAAAGCCCCCTGATACCAGGGATAAGGATGAATGTATGTGGACTTGGACGAAAGGGATGTTGACTGATCATTGTTAGTTGGATTACTGGTTCGCCCCAGAAGGGGTGGGACTATATGTGAACCACCAGGAGTCACGAGAAGAAACTGACCACCACAGTTTTGGCTCAGCTGTCAGTAGGAAACATTAAAGGAGGAGAGCCCATCCACTGGGGGTGCACTGGCTGGTGAGTAACATGCTTATAAACCTTCATCCATAAACAACGAGGGTAGGGGGAGGAAATTAAACATTTGTTAGAATAATGTCAATTTAGATTTATATATTTTATTGTAGCCAGTTTTCATCCCGATATACACCTGTGCACATATAAAAATTACCACTGAAAAACAATGGTCATCTCTTGGGTGTTTCACAGCAACGCTAACAGCATAAATCAAACTACAAAACAGTTTAAGGGAGGAAATAAAGACCATTGTGTGTACGTCTACACACACACCCCTCTCAAGACTTCGACTTGAGTGCTACGGGTCCTACAAAGGGGAATAAAACCATGGCAATCCCGTGGAAACAGAGGAGAGAGGCAGTATGGAGGAAAAGAGAAGCAGTTTCTCTCACAATGGCATAGCACAGAGGGGCAGTTAGTTGCTAAACTCTGCAGGAGTGAAGAGGATGTGAAGAGAGGCATAGTCTGGCAATGGTACTATGGGCGACATTCTCCTCTGAAATCTGCATACCGTATGCAGCAAAAGGGTTAAGATTTATGCTACTTGTACTCTGTACATTATCAGGGTATATCTCACTTAAGCATTTCACCAGTGCACTTTGGGCCCTCCTATTCTCTGCTGATGACATGTAACAGTCTAGTTTCCTCTTGGCTGTAAAGCTTTGGTCTAATTTTGGCTATTGGGTTTAGTGTATGGGTGCTGGATGGGGTTGATGACCTGTGATATACAAGAGTGGATGATCTGGTGGTCCTTTCTGGCCTTAAGCTCGATGACTTCTTAGAAAAGTGAGAGAGTTGCCATGCCCAACCAGCCTTTGAATGCACAGTAGTGAGGAGAATGGTAGGCTACCTACAGACAGAGCGACAACGTTCAGCAGGATGTTGTTTATCTTGTCCCATAGGTCACCGCCTAATGTTTGGAACAGAGGTTGTGCCATCTGCCCCTGCCACAGTTCTGCCAATGCCATTCACTTCAGGGCAGCATGTGATAAATTTTATCACCATCAAAGAAAAGCATTTTTTTCAGACAGCATTCCCCTGCCCCGCAAGTTCTTGTGCTGAAGAGAAACACAGGGCTCTTGAATATTAAAAATTAAAGACAACGTAAGTCCCAACAGTTTCCGGAATAGTAAATATTCTTCTATTGACATGGTCTGCCACTCTGATACAGTGAAAAATGCTATGAATTAAGAATCCCAACTTAATTTCTAAGAGAATTTAGCAAGACATCCAATGTTATTTTAAAGTAATTTTGTTTGTTATTAATACATTTTGGATTGTTCCTGAGCCAGCACTTACAACTATAAAACTGGCAAAAAGAAGAGTTTCTCAACAAAGTGTAGTCATTTATTGAAAATGCACTTCTATGAAGTTGTTTTATCTGTAAGAGAAAGTCCACTCAAAGACAGAAAACTTGCACGTAGAATCATTTGATGCTATGACAAAACAACTGGTCAATGTAAATGACGTCTGTGCAGTAGGGTGCGAGCAAACTAAATTTACAAAAATCTTCATAGGAAAGGATAAGACTGAGCAGGGGATCCTCGCTCTAAAAGGAGAACAAGTCAGAGTTACTTACAAACAACTACTTATCATATAGTCAGGTTAACTTGCATCTAGTTTGCTAAAAGCAATCTAGTTCAGTGCAGCTCTCAGACACAGAACTAATTAAACTTTTTGACTAATATAAAAGAAAAACATGAGCTTTCACCTTTTTTGACTTAAGTGAAAATATTATTGGTAAACATAAGGTATTTCATTCAAGAGGGAAAAGGTTAATACTTGGAATATATTCATATATAAATACATAATATCCTATCTAGATACCTCTGGTTAATAAATGCATCTAGTGTGTACACTCCCACACACTTTCATTGCTGTGAACAAAATGTCTATTAAATTATGCTGATCATTTTTGCGTTTAATTGTAGTAAGACACCATTATATTACCAAATTAACTGTTCACCTAATTTTTGAGATGATAAACATAATGGGGCAGCAGATTTTTTTCAAAATTACAGAAAAAGTCAAATAATTCTAATTTTTTAAACACAAAAATGTACTCTAATGTATTACATCTAGCTTTTAAATTAAAAGCTACAGAGAATTAAATGTATGATTCATTGTTATGTGACTCAATAGTTTCAAATCACATACTTTTCCTCATCCTTGGTAATGTATTAACATTATGAAATTTTAAAACACTTTAAATTTCTTTGAAACAAAAAGTCTATTTTACTTTTTAATTAAATCTATTTCTCTAAAAGGTCTTTAAAGGCTCTACAAACTACCTTGCATTTTATTATTGCTGACAGTTATCTAAACCACGCTTGAATGCTCTCTTTATCCGTTAGTGAACAATTGAAAGATCATATGCTAAGAGACTTGTGCTTTCTCTTCTTCTTGCCCTGTAATTAAGGCATTTAAATACATTTCTTCATAGCAGTTAAGAGAGTACACGGTAAAAAATCATGAACTGAGACAATTTTGAGTTTAGCAACCACAAATACATACAACATAAATTTGTCTCAATGGCAAATATAAAAAACAGAACAAAAAACCCGCTTGAAATCACATAATAAATTTACAGAACGCATGGACTGAAAAGGTTTTGTTTAACTGTCTTAAGATATTTAAATGATCTATGGTAATTTGACAATACTACCACATTGTTAGCTATCCTACAAGGAAGGTAAACATTTATATCAAACACACATTTGTCAAGAATATTTTAGTTTTTAATAGGGTTTTTTTGCACTATAAAAAAAATGGAGGGAGAGGTGTGAGGAGGACAACATGTGGATGGAAGGAATTACCATATGGTAATTACAACAAATCTGGTAAATGTATTATAATAAATATTTGCCATTATACATTTAGAGCAACAGACATATGCTTTATAAAATGTTATAACAGATAAAACAAACAGAAATTTGTGAAACTGCAGTTTTTCTAAACTGAAGAATTCTTATATTAATGTACTACACCCTTTTTGACACAAACATGTTATTAAGAAGTTTCTTTCACATTATGAAAGGAATTCAGCATGTATATGGTCAAAACATTTCTATATAGCAATTATATACAAGATGTAAAGTATAAAGTGTATCTTAGTTACAGAAATGCTTTAGGAAATATTCTATATGAATTTGAGATTAGTTGGTCATACAGCATATCCCTTACATGTAAATCTAGTTTCTGTGGCAGAAGTTCTTTATGTTGTTGTCTCAATCAAATGTTAAAATATATGTTGTACTAAGTTATGTTTTTTCTTAAGACAGACGAGAATAAGAAAAATAATTTTTAAAAAGTTGTCAGCATGTTGTATTATGAACAACCTTATTAGTCCTTTACAATTACAATAGGTACCTCTGGACAAGATCGAGCAGACATGACAAATGCTTCTGACTTCTTTTTAGATCGAACCTGGAAGGTCATCGCTGAACAAACAGAATACTGTACTACTGGGGTCATAAATTGTCGAAGATGACAAAAATGTAAGTTTATTTTTTTGTTCTATAAAATAAATGAATAAGTTATTCAGTTTGGACTATCCTTTTATCCCTGCTTGATTTTATACTTGAAAGAGATAGATAACTTTTTTTCTTAATTTTTTATACACGTGTCAATTTAACTTTTATATTATGTCCTTCTGAATCCAACTGACAATATTAGCATTGTCTTTCAAATAACTACTGCACTTTCTAAATGTAGTCTTCTGTATGGCTTTCTAATAAATTCTTATCTTTGTTTGTATTTGCTCACCATCATTAATTATGACAAAGCTGTAAACACTTTCAGAAAAAACAGTCCACAAATTTGGAATTTAATATTTTTTCTTTAATTTCATTTTTTAAAGTGTACAGGAAAAATGCTAGCTCAATTAATCTGGTCAAGAAAAAGTATATTTATTATTTCTCCTAACATTTTTATATTTTGTTTTTAGGATAATTTAACAGGACTGGTAGTTTATGATTAAATTTAATTTGTGTGGAGCTAAACAATAACTTAAATTACTGGAACTGTAAACATATTAATAACTGTCACATTTAAATCTTGTGCTATACTTTTAAGGAGAAGTATATAGAATGAATTAGAGATCTGTAAACTCCTGATGGGAATTAGTAGTGTAAGACAAAAGAAAATGAAATGTTAACTGAAAAGAAAATAAGTTAGGTCAAATGAAAATGTAAATCAACAAGATTTGGATAGTACTCAGATCAACAGCTTTAGCTAATAAAAGCTCTAACAGATCAGTGACCATACAGTTTGAAACAAATATGAAATATGAATGACTTTAAAAGAAATAATATGAAAAGTACAACAGTAACCGGATATAAAATTATCAAAATTCAAGTGAAGGAAATTCAAACCGAAATGTATGATGGGCAATTATGTACCTATTTTGACAATTCTAAGTGGTCAAGTTTTTAAAGTATGACACAGAAACCTTAACCTATCTATAGATGAGTGATAAATGAGGCATTTTGTGTCATTACAGTCCCATAAATCACTTTCTTTAACTGCTGACGGCTTTTATCAGATCTAACCTTTTCAAGCTTCTATTAGAGTGCTAACATTTTCAACTTTGACACATATGAAATTTACAAATTCTGCAGCTGATTAACTCTGGACAGAAGCTCACTGCCATCATTGCCTTCTTCAAGTTGGGTTAGAGCTTCAGTGTCTCAAAAACTCTTACTCACAATAGGACAAAAATCTCAATTAATGTAGTGGGCTGTATTTCAAGGGTACAAAACAGTTTTTCTTCTGAAGCAAATAAATGAAAGCATGCTTTCTGCTGTACTCAGCAATGTTCCGCAAACCTAAATAACAGACTGTTTGCAATTTAAAAATCATATGCATAAGAAGTAAATTCCATATAAAGATACGCAACACTTTAGTAATTGAAAGTTCGAAGAATAATTTTCTTTTACTTATCCTGGTTTTAAATTCTAATTAGAAATTTTATATTAAATTGATGAACACTGTTAGCTATTTGAAAAGCCACAACATAAAGAAATCAAACAGGACTATAATCATAACCTCTAGAACTATAAGCTAATTTTCATCATGGACCCAGTTATTATAGGAATGCACATCCTTTTCCATGGGAAACTTTCACTAAACTCCTCCTGAACTAAAATAAAAGGGAATTAAATGCCTTAAATCATCAGGCTCAAAACATGTATTTTCATAATTTATAATTACAAATGCGTAGTACTTTATATAATTCAGATATAACTTACACACACACACACTGAAACCTTCAAGGAAATACATTTACAAGATTTAATTGATACAGACGTTGAAACAAAGCTCAAGTTTAAAGAGATACTGTCTTTAATAATAATAGTCAGACTGAAGAAATCTTGATGTTGGTTGTGTGACCACAGGAAGCCTGGTACTTCAGATGGTATTAGTTTTGATAAGAACTAACTAGACATCAGACCTAAACAATGAAACCTGAAGAGACAGCCTCAGACCACGCAAATAGGAATATCTGCAGAGACCCTCCCGCGGCATATTGCCTCTTGTTGACAAACCACAAATCTTAGAAAAATAGTGGGCAAAGGACAACTTTTCTTCAGCAACATAGCGAACATAGCCTTGTAACGTCAGTGATTAAGGCCTATCTATGACAAATTAAAAACTTTATTTCACTAATAATGTTACACATCACAGAAGCTGTGCAGTTACTTTTTGACAATTCAGATGTAAATCCTGGAATGCATGTGAATATTCATGAGAAAGTCATATTTATCATTTAAAACAAGAGGACATGACTTCTTGGTGTTCATATCAAAAACCAGTGATGAATGAGGCCATGCTAATCAAAGACAAACCAAAACACACAGATGTTTGCTACTCTTGATTAAAAAAAGAAAAGACTAGTCCAAAAGAACAATGATATTGAAAATCTAAAAATGTTTATATATACACTAAAAGAAAAGGAGTACTTGTGGCACCTTAGAGACTAACAAATTTATTTGAGAATAAGCTTTCGTGAGCTACAGCTCACTTCATCGGATGCATCCAGTGGAAAATACAGTGGGGAGATTTATATACATAGAGAACATGAAACAATGGGTATTACCATACACAATGTAACCAGAGTGATCACTTAAGGTGAGCTATCACCAGCAGGAGAGTGGGGGGGGAGGGCTTTTGTAGTGATAATCAAGGTGGGCCATTTCCAGCAGTTGACAAGAACGTCTAAAGAACAGTGGGGAGTGGGGGAATAAACATGGGGAAATAATGACAGGTTTCAGAGTAACAGCCGTGTTAGTCTGTATTCGCAAAAAGAAAAGGAGTACTTGTGGCACCTTAGAGACTAACCAATTTATTTGAGCATAAGCTTTTGTGAGCTACAGCTCACTTCAATAGTTTTACTTTGTGTAATGACCCATCCACTCCCAGTCTCTATTCAAGCCTAAGTTAATTGTATCCAGTTTGAAAATTAATTCAAATTCAGCAGTCTCTCGCCTATATATACACTGTGTGTGTGTACACATGTGGGTATGTATGTGTATATATATGTTTAGAAAT